CTTGTCAAACCCCATAATTCACAGGTGTAAACACACACATACTCCACCGTGAAGAGTGTGCAAAGCATTTGTCACCCATACTCTGTACAGATTTGGAGCCTGCACCATCACATCCCAAGTGATCTAGCCTCATGAAGATTTGAGTTGGTTGTTCTGAGGCCTGGCCACTGTCAATGCTCTTAGTCAACCACATTGGGTCTCTTGGCATAGACCCCCAGTCTCTTCAGGACTGTCTGGTATGAAATAATCCTGGATGGCATTTGAAGAGCCTAACAGACATTCTAGGACCTGCAAAAAGGTAGTGCAGTCCAAGATTGACTTTCAAACACCCCACACTGGTGGCAAAGATACCAAGGATTGGAAAAACTTAGGTATATTTGGATATAAATTGCCTCGGGCTGTCAGACTGAGCAAGTTATACCCTTATTGACAAAAGAGAATGGCAAGCTAAATGACATGCTGGAAAAAGGATTGGTCAATGGAAAAATTCAAATAACAACATCACCCTGGGTGACACCAGTCTTGGTCACATGGAAAAAAGGTGAGAAACTTTGACCTTGCTTTGATTACAGGTGCCCAACTGCACTAACAATCAAAAAAGAATATCTACTTGTTGGAAGAAACTTACGTTTTATGTCATTTATTATGATGATGTAATAATGTGTTAAGAAGTTATGTACTTAAACAAATGTGTTTTTGTTTTCTACTCACAACTTTCCTGACTGAACCATAACCTACCCATGAGTTATACCACTTACTCTTACATATCAAATCTTGTCTACCATGAGAAACTTTCTTTCTCATCATTCATCTGTTTAGAAAGTTCTCTCCCACACAATTCTTCTGGTTATTGAATCACCTTATTGACTGTTAACTTGTTGATGTGTTGTTGGTTCTGATCAGGTATGATAGTGTTTGGTTTTGTTGAAAGAAATTGTTTCATCTAAATACTAAAAAGATGGACCACTTGCGCAAGTTTTGGTCCCTTTTATTATTCACCCATCCGTTCCAACTTCCAATTTCTGGTTGCATTGCGTTTTAGTCCACCTAGCGTTATTGTAGGTTTTTTCTGCAGCTCAATTCCTGGAACATTTGCTTTTTAAGCCACCTTTTGTCATTGCAACCTTGTTAATGCATTTTTGTTGAGAATATCTTGCCTCCTCACCTTAGTTTTGTTGCACATTTGCTTTACCCTGTGAGATTCAAATGGACTTTTAGAGGCAACTCTTTGTTATGTACATCTTCATTCGCCCCCTGCCTCATTCCAATGTAGTCTGCTTTTTGATTTCTTCATCTCCATGTGATGCTCGACTTTCAAAGGCAGTTTGTACTCACCATCTTTTGAAAAGCATTGTGATGAACTTTTCAACGCATCTACTCATGTCAGTCTCTTGATTCATTCAAACTACAGTTATTCCTCTGAAGATTAATATGGTGCCAGTTGATTCTTCTTTTTCATCATTCATTCATTTCTCATCAAATCTGACCTTGATCAATTTTATCTTTAATCAAACATGTGCCTCTTGGACCTCTGGCCAATGCAATGCTCTGCTTTACGCAAGAACAGTCACCTTTGCATCAGAGGTAGACAATGCCAAATGAGTCACTTTGTCAATTTACAACATGGCAATTGTTGTTCTAAATTCATTGGGTCTTTTCCTTCAGATCATCAATATCTCCCCCCAAGACCGGAAAGCATGGTCACACTAAGGTTTGTTTTGTTGTGATCAATACCTCTACTAACAAAAATTTGGAAGGTATCTCTCCTTCTACTCACCGCATGAATTTTCCCAACATCACCCATAATGGATACCAAATTGTTAACATTGAACATGGTTTCTTGAACTTGATCAACATGGAGGTATGCTTTGGAGCGTTTTTTTTTGTGATTTTCATCCTTGTTGGCTTGGCTTCTTTTTTTTGAAAGAACCACAAGTCACGCCATGGTCCTTCAGCCCACAGTGACTTAGTGGAGGTGAAGGGAGTTCAGCAAAAAATGCACAAATTATCAAGGTTCTGGGTACAGGTAATTAATAAGCTGATTGACTCTGTGTTGTATGTTTTTCTGGAATTCAGGCAACTTTATCAACCACAGAATTAGGTAGTTTAGTTGGTTTGACAACTCTGGTTCAGGCATGCCAGCATGGTCTATAGTACTTGAAAAACATCAATAAACTTTCACGACAGTGAATGGGATGCCTTTAGCATTCACTCAATAAGCACTGAAAAGCTGAATTTATTTGCCACAATGTGGACTATGATTTTTCATGATCAAGGAAAGCTCAGAGATTTCAGCTTCACTTCTGGAAAAGCTGAACAAATCAGAAAGTAAACATAAAAGTCCACTTTCAGGCATTGAGGCTTTTCAGGAAGAGGGCTATTTCAAAAAGGGGCAGACACTGAAAGGTGTAAAAGGAGGGCTGGGGAATAGGATTGAAAGCCCCATCATTTGAAGCAACCCATGGCTGCACCTTGGTGAGTTGTAAGTGGGAAGTAAAGAGACACTGCTTGCCCACCCAAATTGCTGCATTGTTGCCACAATGGCACACCACAGTGATTTTGGGGGTGACTCTGGATTCAAGGATTTCAATGGTCATCCTCATAGTCCCTTGACCAGTCCCATTACCTGTTATAATAGTAACACAGTCTGTCCCACTGCATCCAATTACTTCTCCTCAATCATCTTATAATTGTTGTAGCTGTGGTGACACCACAATAAGTGTGGAAATAGCTGGCAGGTATAAGATTGCAGAGAAGTGTACCAAATTGTGGTAGGATGGCAGGTGCTAGATGCTTTTCCTGAAGGAGAAATCCAAAGAGTGGTATGTCTGGTATACTGCCCTGTGTGACGGGTCACAGTCCAAGTCTGGTGGCGATTCTCTTAGACTACTTTTTGGCCCAATTATATGCATTGGCATTGGAATTATATGAATATTCCTGGAGTTCTGAACCCAAATGAACATACTCAACATCATAATTATGGATCATGAGATTTTGTCTGGCTGGCCTCTTCCCTACCAATCACTTGGTGGATATGTAAGTAATAATACCTATGTATACAACATGATGTTTGGGTTGACCAGTCTTAATCACCTTTCAAGTGAGGTTGGAAGTGATGTTTCACCATTCAACCACAACTTACTGGCTGTGTTCAAGGGCTGTCACCTTCCAGATAAAAGCTTGACAGTCTGGCAATTGGGGGGGGGTTCAAAGGAGTATAATCCCCTGATCTCACAAGTCTACAATGGCATATTTCTGGGGTATGGAGTACTTGACAGAGTAGGATATAACTCATTTAGATATTACCTTGAATATCACCTTGGCTGGACCGCAACTGTATCTTATCTCTTCTGTTTTTGTGTGACCCCAGCACAAGTGGCTAGAAAGTCAGCGGTCAATCCCTCCAGTTCATCTACCAATCACCAATGCACAGTTCCAATTGAGGATAGATTCCAAGTCTTGGAGGACCACAACACACATGTTTGTTGTAGGATTGACATTGTTTCTTTAGATGACCAACACTCATGAGGACCTTGCTCAAGGTTAACAAGTTTCATAACTTTTGTTCCAGTAGAGATATGTGGCTGTACTTTGAAATTTGGATGGGAATTCTGTGGTAGGGTTTCAGAAACAGTGCACTGCTTTGCTATGCATTGAGCCTGAAACTCACTCTTATGGAATGTTTTTCTGATGTACATATGGGACCTGCACTGCCAAAAAAATACCTTTGGTCCTGGAATCCAAGGCATGATTGGATGCAAATCCTCAGAAATATCTTGTCTGAGGTATTGATCTGAGGTCTAACTTAACTAAAGTCCCCTCAGGGCCTCGGGGCTAGACACAAAAACATGACCAAGGATTTGAGTCCCATGATACCTCAGCATTTTCAATATTGGCTGTGCTGAATTAGGTTAAATCTCTAGTACATGACCAAAATGTGGTGTTTAGACCTTGAAACACTGACATAGTAAAAGTGAAGAGATACTGGATGCACCAAGGATGCCCAATATGTGACTCCTTCATACACAGCTCCCACATCTTGAAATTGATATCCAGTTATAAACTAGGCAGACCAAGGAAACCCAGTGCTCCCTCATCCAATCACCACTATATTATCAACCAAAACTTTCAATTCATCAAGACTGACAAGGGGTTCATTAGTGGGGTTCAAGTTAAAACAAATTGGACTTATAATGAATTTTAAGCAATGTTTGGGAGTCACAAATTATAGTTTTATTTATAAGCCATCCAAGCAGCTTTAGAGCTGCTCGGGTGACTTATAAATTATAAGTCGATGCTTATAATTTTAAGCAAGACGACCTTTTTTTTCCACGAAGAAAAAGCCGTCTTTTGGGTTGTGTGTCAACGGCCTTTTTTTAGTGCTCAACGGTCAATTTTTTTCTTTTTCACTCTTGTTGAATCCATAACAGCAGAAATAATGCACTTTGTGAGCCTCTTGTACCTTTGTTTCAGGAGGTTTCAGAGCCTGTTCTTTTTTTACTTTGGACCAACTTTACTTATGTATAAGTACTTGTACACGCTGTCATTGTGTTTTTTAAGCACCAAGCAGACTTAAAAAGTGGCTTGAGTTGCCTATAATCTTAGCTCAATTTTTTTGACTTGAACCCCACTATTGAAAACATCAACTCTCTGGGGGAGTTACATTTGACTTGACTTGACTGGCAGCAGAAGCCAGCAATTTTGCCAAGGTCAAATTCTGTATTGTTTCAAGCATGAGATAGAATTGAAGACATCATATTTTGATTGACAAATTTAAACATTAACCCATTGGGGGCCTTAATCCAGGTCTGATTTGTGATTTTAATGACATGAACCAAGATTGATGGTGGGGGTTCAAGCCAAAAATGACCATAGAGATCATATCCTGATAGCCCAAACTCTGGTTCTAGGCAAAGTTTCAAATAAAGATTGGACTAGATAATTTTGTAATTCCAGTGATGAGCCTGCTTGGGAGCTATTAATTTGACTCACACGTGGATACAGAGATTTTAGAAATGCATTGTCAAAGAAACTTCTTTATCTTTTTACAACTGCCATCCTGATTCTCTAATCCTAAAGCAAACACATTGAACACATCTTGCCAAGCTATATGTAATGGCTGTATCAACAGAAGTAAGTACACCAATACCTTGCTTTTCCAAAACAGTTCCTTTTTAAAAAACGATCCGGGACTTAGATATGCTTTGTATAGATCACGTCCAATCTCAAATCAAAATGAAAAATCTAAAACCTCAACTTTCCTTCAAGTCCTAACCGAAAATGTACAATACAGTTCACACACTTGCGGTGTCAAGGGAAAAAATAAACAATGAAACCACCGAACCCTTCAGCAATAAATGACCAATTCAATCACCAACAGAAAATAGAAAAATATCGCAACTTTTCACAAGAGCGGTAGAAAATTGCACGGAACGCGATCATTGTGTTCCACCAGACGAATTATTTGGCCACAAGTTCAGGGAAGGGCCTCCAGAGAATTCGTTATGCCACATACTAAACGTTGGCTCACCCGGAAGCATGTTCATCGGTGAAAAGTCGAAAGCTGCATTGGTGATCTGTGAAGGATCAAAGGTGTGTCCAGGCGGGGTATCTGACTTTTCTACCAAGCCCAATAATGCTAAGAGACGCTCTGTAGCCTTCGCTGAGGTTTCAGCCATGTAGGTACTGATTGCAAACCAGCAACGTGTACGTCAGTAACTACCTCGGTGAACTATAAACCGGATATGGGATCGGTTACCTTGGGGCCAGCTCATTCAAGATGTCAAGCGCGACGTTGATGTCCCGGCGACGTAGTTCAGCCTCAGCTTCACTGATAGTGTGTCTTTCTTTACGAATAGAGCAAATTAATACAATTGCGGCTGATGCGACACGTATAGGTGCCCAGATAAAGGCGTGTCGTAGTAGGTTAGGTTGGCGTAGTTTTTGCGTCAAGTGGATAACGGAGCTGGCCGCAGATACACATATTGACATAGATGATTCTTCTTCGGTCGAACAATCGAATAAAACACGATGAACAATATGACGATGATGGTGATATTGTCTGTAAGAAGCAATGAATTAGAGTCCATTGCTTGGTAGTTGGACGAGCACGAGGAAAATTAGAACAAACGTCAAGACGGTCACCGAGGCCAACAGATAATCTGGAGTGACGTGTGTTTGACGCAGATTGTTGGGCAGATTTGAATACCATAAATTGAGACCAGCATCGATTTTTTTCACCAGAGGCTTCACTGTGGCTAAAAGGTTACTGTCTTCGGCCTTGTCACGCCTGGCATGAAAAGCGTTCAACAAGGGAAGAACCGAAGCTTTGCCTGCACTCCCCGTAGCCAACGCCATGTAGCTTCGATTCAAATCGATGGCTGCCTGTGAAGACAATGGTCCCTCTTGACCGTAAGAAGTGAAGGTTCCAAACGTCTCGTCCATATCGGGATCAATTGGAGCTACAAGACACCCAATCATATTAGTTTCAAGGTGCCAGGACTGCTAAGAGGATCTGAATTACCGAGATCATAGTCTTCTTCTTGCATATAAGCTGTTCTTCCAAGAATTGAACTGAGCGAGTTGTCAAGTTGATTGAGGTGAAAAAAGGCCTTGCGACGCAGATGATCTCGCAGCTTATCGGTTTTCCAAATATGACTGTGTTCACGATGGGCTCCAACTTCCTAAGACGCGGGGAATAGAGAATGAACTAGTTATCAGTGAGTGATGAAAATGTTTCCAGTCACGTCATCTTACCTGCGCCCTTTGCAATCCAATTCCAGCGATCGACCAAGTCGACATAGGACTGACGGTACCAAGCGAATACACACAGAGTAAGACATATGCCTGAAGATCGAAAAGAGTCGCGGGGGTGGCTATCGGCCTATAAAGATAAGAAACCGCAGAATAACAATAACGCAATCCAGCTACTTGTGGACTAGGATGCTGACTGCCGTCTATGTCAAGACGAACCCTAGGATCATCTGAAAAACGACTGGCCAGAGCAAATACAAATAGACACAATGACCTGAACGACGTCTCGGTTTGAGCTAGACCAGATGCGTGAAGCTGAAGAAAGGTGGGTGGGTGCAGAAGAGGATTTTGTAGATGGACGTGAGTGAAATAGAGAGACAGCAGATGGTGCTCCAGGTCTGGTTCAGGATAAAACCGCTGAGTGGCAAAGATTCGTTGTTGATATTGATTGCGAATGATCTTATCTACTGGTGACAGTTCACCAGACGTAGTGCTCGTCATTGGTACGTGAGCCCCAGCTTGGGTAGCGGCACAATCCGGGAGGCTGAAAACGCCATTTGTTCCGACATAGTGAGCAGACTCGAAGGTAATCCCAACAAATCTTCCGTTGGATGGGTTTTTATCGACTTGTGACCAGTGAGCAGAAGACCAGATTGGAGTGACGGGAGGATCAGCTTTGTCATTATTCGAGTCGGTCAGCTGTTGAGGAAGAGACGAGGGTTGAGCGTCTGAGGTAGCATTTGCTCGATCCCCACTGCTTGAACTAGGAGCGGGCGTGTTTAAGTGAGGAAGCGTGTCGAGCTTGTCTACGTTTGGTAAGTTGTTGAGGTCTAAAGACGGAGCCACTGCATGTATGAGCCGCTCGAGAGAACGAATACGAGCCTGAAGGTGTTCGACGTCCCTGCATACACAATGGATAAAATGCGGGTAAGTAGATGTAGCCTGCTCACAGATCGGCACGATGTGAATCTGACTTTTGAGTAGGAGGGCGCTCCTTGAGACTACCAGGATTTGCGAAAGTACAAGGTACGCCCGAGGCAGCGCAAGCAGCACATCGACCATCCTGCAACGACGATTTAAGAATAATTAACACCCGATCGACATCAGATAAAACCAAATACACGAAAAGACATACCTCGAAAACGCATTTAATCTTACTACTACGACAACGATCACAACTTCTTGGTATACCTGGTGGAATCGGTTAGTTAATAATCAGATATATGAATCGAGAACCTGATAGATGATCCACGATGTCTTACGATAGCGGCGTCTTTTGGATTCTTGAGGAGTGGGTGCTTGCAGGTGATGAGGGGCCAATCGAGAGGAAGGGCTAATGTTATTGTCATCAAATGAGGATCCTAACGGGCGAGTTGAAGTAGGAGAAGTAGTGTTAGGTAGACTTGAAGACATTGGATTATTGAAATTGGTTGGTGAGTTGAGCGGGAGTGAAGTGTTGAAGTCTTGTGAGTGGTTTTCAGTCATTTTTCTTTGAAGACTTGAGTGAATGCGGCGGAAAAGAGTAAATGCGAAAAAGAAGTCAACTCCGAGTAAATCTCAATCTTTGTTATCATCAAAACTTGATCAAAGGTTGGATGAAACCCTATGTAACTTGTCAAAGTCCCTCATTGCGGATTCAACTCGTTGAGTGACAGCTGTCGCGAGGCATCGAGGGACTTTGTTAAGTCAGGATCAAACCAATTTAAATACACAAATAACCCTGTGTAAACTATTGTGTTAAACCAAAGCCTAACAAATTTACGTAAAAGCTAACAGCTCTGAACTGCTCTGAATAGTTGCGGTGTCTGGCGGTGTCGTCGGACGAGGCGTGGGCCTTGCACAGCCCACACGAAGAACTACTTCAAACCCAAGTTTTACGCCAAGACTTGATGGACAGCGCCACATCCTCTTCTTTCTTTATAAGAAAGTGGATGTTGTTTCACTAGACACTATGCGGGCATGCACTGCGAGGAAGATTCTGTCACTCGAGTCTGAGTATGCACTTACCACCCACTTCGGTAACAAAACCCGAAAAAAGTTACATATATGATTTTTACATCACGGTGAGAAATATTCTCACCGTGTATGTATATGTAAAGCTGTGATCCTTGAAAACCTTCGGTAACCGAATCAAAGTGAAGATGATGATCATTCAACGATGAAATGATCATTTGTCGTTCGGTAAACAAGGTCACCGAGCTCATCGACTTGATGAGCTCACTCTTTCTTTTTGTAATGAACCCTTCCCGCCGCTTGTAGATGTAATAGAACAAATTTAATATAACCTCATTAAAAAATGGATCATACTCGAGCTCTTCAGCGCCGGAGACATCGACGTCGCCAAATTATATTCTTCAATCACTTAATCCTGATGGAATCCGCTAGATTCTACTACAACACAATCTTGAAGCCAACTATAATAAAAAATCCAAGGATCAGATCAATCCTTTCTGGCCAGATGTGGATTGATGAGTTACTGACCGGGCACGAAAAGGTTTTCTACGAAAATATGGGAATGAAAAGGGAGTTTTTGTGGGATTGAG